ATATATATATTGAACATAGCTTAAAAGTGCACTTTTAAGAAAATAGACACAGCTTTATTCGCGCTTAAAATATAAGGGATGCAGCATTTGATTCTGTTTTTTAAATTACTGTTACGGCTACTGTATTTTAAAAGAAATAAATATTGATTATTCGTAGTATTTAAAAACTGCATTCCTGTCAGCTTGTACAGTCGCTTAAAAAGATTTAAATAAGTGTTAATAAAACAACAATTAAAGTTGGAAGAATATTTTAAAAACAAAACTATACCGACATCTATAAGCATAATTAGCCAATAAATGGATACATATACATATTTTTTAAGTATACATATTTATTTATTCACCGTGGTAGCTTAATTTTTTTTAAACTTTAAACTAAGCAAAAGTAATTTAAACAAATCGATATAAAATCATGTAGACTAACATTTAAGTTCACAAATTTTGATAATTTTTTTAAAAACATCAGTTTGTTTCAGACATCTGTATGTTGTTGCTTTAGTTCACTACCACTGAAAAAAAATAATAATTCGAAACTGTGGAGAATCCGTTAGTAGTTTTATCTCTGAGTCTCGGCTTTTATACATACCTTCCAAGTAGTATACTATTTCCGTAGTTTAAGGAATAATATTTATTCCTGAGGTACCAGAGGTAATGTGTTAATATTTGAATAAGTTAGAAATAAAAGAATTTAGTCGACTGCAGCAAATAAATAATTGAAACAGATATATCAAAGGCCAGATAGTCATAAGATCATCTCTTTAAGTTAGGATAATAAAAAAAATATTTGTTTTAAAAAATATCTGTACTAGTATACTACTACTGAAATAATAATTTCTCAAAAATATTAAATGTTGAAGTGTATGCTTTTATTACATATATTAATTTTTTAGTTGTAAAATGTAAAAAGTTTCATTAATTTTCAATTTTTTAAATACGAAACATCGTTTAAAACTACGAATATTCCGTAGTCGTTATAGTATATGTATAAAAAAAATAACAAAACTGTACTTGTGAGCTGTAGAAAACATTTATTTTTTATATTTATGTATTATTTTGGTAGGTTGCATTTACGCTAGTCACTCGTTGAATTCTCGTTATAAAAATTTAAAAAATAACGATGACAGAGACTCCAGCTAATTGAGACATATCTTAATTGTACTTACCTTTATCAAATTTTTACCTAATTATAAATCTGAAATGTTTCATCTAAGATTTAGATAATATAAGATAGTAAGATAGTATAATATAGAGTCTTAAAGGATCGATCTGATAGAAACTTTATTTAAAAAAAAACAATAATAAATCACCGAAAGAGCTCAGTAATCTGACATGAATAGATAAATATTTCATTAGAATAATATGATAAATGTCTTGGGTATAGATTGCAAAATGGTTTTTTTTGATTAAATTCCCGAAGTTTTGTAAACTGAACGGACGAAAATTGTGAGTCAGTACGGTGTTGTAAAACAATTATTCAGATCTGAAATTGATTTTTTTCTTCAATTTATGGTATTTGTTACTCAAGCAAAATGCTTCTACTTCTATCTTCTGTCATTGGTGTGCTGAGTTTTTCCCACTCCATGCCCTTAGCTAGAAGACTAATAGATATGACTTATATTTTCGACGAAACTACACTACGTTTTCCAGGTTATAACATAGAATTCAAACTAGGTCACTTGTTTAATGGAACATATGAAGGATTAGCATCGAATTGGTAAGATTAAGTTTACTTACTTCTTTTTAAAACTCCAGTCCATGATGGACCATACAATTCCACTCCAAAGCCATTTGTCTCGAATTTTTGCTTTATGATTCCTCATTTTTCAGGCCACTAAAGGTATTTTTTTTGTTCCTATTGCAATGCATTCTTTCTATGTGTCCCACCCATTGGATTCTTTTTGATTTTATATATATTGCAATATCCTGGTTTGATTTCATACAGTTTATAATATCCGTTTAGAATGTTTAGAGCTATCATATAGTACAGACACAGCTCAAATACGTTGAGCATAGCATATATGAGTTGAACATAGCCTAAAAGTGCACATTTAGGAAAATGGACACAGCTTTATTTGCGTTTTAAATATAATGGAAGCAGCATTTGATTCTGTTTTTTAAATTACTGTAATGACTACTGTATTTTAAAAAGATTTAAGTATTGATTATTCGTAGTACTTAAAACAAAATGCATGCCTACCAGCTTGTACAGTCGTTAAATAGATTTTACAAATTTTGAACACAGTTACACAACAATTATACAAAGTTAAAACAACAATTATTTTTGGAAAAATATTTCAAAAAACAAAACTAAACAGACATCTATAAGCTAAATTAGCCAATAAATAGATTATATATTACCTTTTTTTACGTTATTAATTTATCGTGGAACCTTTTTTTTGAAACTTTAAATTTTAAAATTTATTAAGAAGAAAATTAAAAAAAATTATTTCTCAACAGCCGTATAAGTGGGCAGCTATTAAATTGTTATTGGTTTATAGTCTTTTTTTAAATATAATAGGTATTTCATGGCTGCGCAATTTCTCTATGGTTGGAAACCGCTGATATTCGAACCATGGTTATCTCATTGAAAGTCAAACTCTTTATCCCCTGAGCCATTGCGGCTACCCTAGTTCTAATAAAAATGCTGCTAAATTCAGTTTCTGAAAAATGTTAATCTTGATACAAGGCCTTATAAGCCATGTCGCATAAAGAGCATGTGTGTCCTGGATCATACGCACCTGGAAATATTTAAAAACTGGTAGTAATGTTAAGACGAAAATATATATTTTAATTGTGTTTGTAACTTTTAGGATATATTAATCATTAGACCTTAGACAATAGAATTAAAGTTTTTGTGTTTGGTTCTTTTAATTTTCAAGCGGTAACTTAAGATATTTTGAGCTTTTTTATGTATTAATTGAAAACAGCCTTAATTGTTCTTCTGGAGTGTATAAACCATTTATGTTCAACAATTTGAGGTTTTTGCAAAAGATTTTTTTCAATGGAACCAAGATTTAAAACAAATCAACCTTTATCTTAACAGATTCATTTGTCAATCTGACCTTTTACAAGTACCTTTAAGGAGTCTCCGTAGTTTCAGGAGAAAAAATTTCTCAATAATAGTAGTGGTAATGTATTTATATTTTAATAAATTAAAATTTAAAAAAGATTGCGTATATCACTAAACAAAAGTAAATTAAATAAATCGATATGAAATCATATAGACGAATATTTAAGTTCTCAAATTTAAATATTTTTTTAAAAACATCAGTTTGTTTCAAACATCTGTTTGTTGTTTAGTTCAGTACCCCTGAAGGAAAAAAATTCGAAACTGTGGGGAATCCGTAATAGTAGTTTTGTCTCTGAGTCTCTGCTTTATTACATAACCTACAAGTACTATAATATTTCCGTAGTTTGAAAAATAGTATTTTTTCTTAAGATACCAAAGGTAATGTATTAATATTTGAATAAGTTGGAAATAAAAGAATTTAGTCGACTGCAGCAAATAAATAATTGAAACAGATATATCAAAGGCCAGACAGTCATATAATCATCTCCTAAGTTAAAATTTTAAAAAAAGGGATATTTGTTTTAAAAAATATCTGTACTAGTATACTACCACTGAAATAATAATTTTTCAAAAATCTTAAATATTGAAGTGTATGCTTTTATTACATGTAATAATTATTTAGTTGCAAAAATGTGAAAATTTTCACTGATTTTCAATTTTTTAAATTACGAATTAAAATACGAAATATATTCTGAAACTATGGATATTCCGTAGTTATTATAGGGTATGAAAAATAGCTAAACTATACCTGTGAGCTGTTGAAAAATTTTTTTATTTAAATTTATGTACCATTTTGGTAGGTTTTATTTATGCTAGACACTCGTTAAATTCTCGTTATAAAAGTTAATAAATAACTACGACAGAGATTCCTGCTATTTGAGACGTGTGTTAATTATTGTGACTATCCTCTTTGTCGTGTATAGAAAAATAGCATTTTGTTGCAAAACTATTTTCGAAAAACATTAGAAAATGCATGAGTAATCATTTTAAGAATGGATAAATGAGATCAAATGACTCAATCTATTTTCCAACTATTAAATGTATCATCAATTAACTGTTTTGTTTAAACTTTATTTGTGAATATCTACATCCGGTTTAAAGAAGAATGCTAACGTAATGAATCCTCAAAATTCATTAGAAAACAATTTAATGCATTTATTAAAAATTTTGCAATAATTTATGTTAAATATCCCGTCACTTGGCAGAATAATTAATTTAATCTGAAAATCTTACAGATATTTAAATTTAAACTTACTTGTGAACATAGCTTAAAGTCTAGTTAGTTGTGTAAAGCTTCTGTTTTTTGATAACTGTGTTGCACAACGTGCCTTAAAGTATAGTGTATTTATAAATTAAAGTTTATCTATTTATACTGTTAGGGAAGACGTAATAACCCTACTTCCACAAAGCCTATAGTAGTTTAAAAGAGTAAACGCCTACTACAACTGAAAGCCCCCACACGGTTTTTAATAGGTAGTCCGATCAGACCATTCCATTGTGAAGAATATCCACTTATTTATTTATTTATTTAAACAAAACTGGGTGCCTAGGCCGCGCAGCGGCCCCTACCCCATTCATCATGTAAATTATATACAGGGAATAAAACATTTTGAATTATGTAACAATGTGGTAACATTATGATAAAGTACCCATGATTAGAAGTATGTACAAACTTGATCGGAGAAAACTATCCACTCTGGTCTGGTCTTGTGGTTTGGTCGAGGTGCCTGAGGCCATAGGGCCCTTTACCTCTTCATCATGTGATAAGTTCAATGAGGTAGTTCCTTAAGGTGAATAGTAGGATGATGATTCTAAGTAGAAATAAAATGATGGCTTGACTGAGTTGTCGGCGTCGTGGAGTATCTAACTATCCACTTTCCGAACGAGTTATTTAATATATAATCTAGTTAAAATAAGAAAGTGGTAGCAAATAAATGACTAAAAAATTTTTTATTTGTGAATGTTATTGGTTGTCTTATTCACTGCACGGACTACTTAAAAAAGAGCGTGTGGAGGCTTTTTGATGTAGGAGGTGATGACTGGGCTCATGTCCGGAAGGTCATGGGTTCGATCCCCGCCTGCCGAAGACTTTCCGTGTAGTAAATGGTGACTAATGCACGTTGAATCTGTCGGGACACAAAGTCCACCGTGTTCCCATAGCAAATCATACCTCTGGAGGTACTGATCTAGGAGTTTCCTTGTCTTCTGGATTGACTCAAAATTATATGGTTACGGAGTTGAGCATCAGTAGTCGTAAACCTAAAATTGGGTTGGCTGTTCAACGACGGATATTACTAAAATAAAATAGTTTCAAGGTCTTTATTACCACAATACCAATAACACCTATTGCCACAATTGATTAAGCGTCACTTGTATCAAGAACTGCTGAACTTTTCTTTCGTGTTTTATGTCTTTGGGTATCAGATTAGTACCGAATCATAGTTGGTAAACAGCGTTCCAAAAAAAAAAAAAAAACGGAAACAGTTTTATATTTAACATTCGATTTCTCAAAATCTATTCATCCGATTTCGCTCAAATTTCTTATCCTGCCATGTAAAATTAGATACTTTAAAATAATGCAAGAAATCGCAAGTCTTAAGATTCAACAATTTTCCGATTATTGCTAAATAAAGTAATGAAACATAATAAATATTTACAGCAATTTATTTTTTGTGGAAGATTATCTTTGGATGAACGAATTTTATAATTCTGTGAAAAAGCTTTTAAATTCGTTAAAAAAGTTCTCGAGATATGGCGCAGTACGCAAAAAGTAAAACTAACATAAAGTTGTCAAAAACTTTTGACCGCTCTCCTGTCCAAACTGCGGCTAACCCTTATATTTTAATGGTCATAAATAAGATTCCGTCCAAAAAAAGATACATTTAGTGAGAGAAAGCAAGCTTTTGTGACTGATTTCGCAACTTTAAATATCGTCTGCACTAATCAATTAGCGTGTTTGAGGTCATCCCCTCGAACCATTAAGACAGTGTCCTAGACCGTAAGGATCCGATCATTAGATCAAAAGTTATTCAGGGTGGTCCGTTAGGTTGCACTGTGCATTGTAAATTATTGTCGTGCTTCAAAAATAATAACACTCATTGAACAACTTGCTAGCTATTCCATATTCAATTTGTTTTCATTTTTGTCGTTTTAGGTTACAATTCGAAGAATTCTCTTCTACAACCCATACTGGTACACACATAGACGCTCCAGCTCATAACATCAAAGGCGAGATAACAGTCGAGCAAATTCGTCTCGAAGACCTGTTCGCACCAGCTGCCGTAATCGACATAACTGCAAAGGCAGAAACTGATCCTGATGCTGAAGCTACCACGGAAGATCTACTGCGATGGGAGGCTGGTACTGGACAAAGCCTGAACGGTGCTATCATTCTATTAAAATCAGGTTGGGGGCGGAAATGGAACGACAGTCAGGCATTTTTCGGCAATCCTGATTATGGCACATTTCCGTTGCATTTTCCAGGAATCAGCGCTGATGCATGCCAGTGGTTAGTTGAAAATCGAAGCATCAAAGGAATTGGAACAGAAACAGCGTCTATCGACAAGGGTTCAACGACTACATTTCCAGCCCATGCCATTATTTTGGGGCATAAACTTTTCATTCTGGAAAATGTTGCCAACATTGATAAACTCCCAATTTATGGCGCCAATTTATTCGTATTACCAATGAAGGTAGGTAAAGGAAGTGGCGCCCCAACTAGAATAATTGCTTCAATTCCTGAAGTCATTTACAAAATGCGTATAAATGTCCGAGAAAACTAATAGTCAGATCAATTTTATTTGTTTTTTGTATTTTTACAAGTAACCCGTCTGTAATGGGGTCAACAAATATAGTTTATTTTCCTTCTTTGTGCTTCAATAAAAAAATAAAACACGGCTTTCCTAAGTTTTCTAATATAATATCTTTTTGTTCTGAATTTACAGAAATCTAACTCTTCGAATACGTAACTTACGCGAGAACTGATCGGTACGGTACGGTATGCCTGCAAAACAACTTACAGGGAGAGCAAAATACTCAGATATAGCAGAACATCATGTGTACCGAAATCCAGTACATGCGCATACGAAGCAAATTGACAGGAAGTACGTCATCTGTTAACTGGTTGTCGAACTATTCTACAAGTATGGTTACGAAACACTGTTTCCCGCCAACCACTATCTAATTCTTTTTTTCTATCTCAAAATGTGTTCAGAGTTAACCAACATTTATAATATAAAGATATTCTCAAAGAAATATCTTAATTAATACAGTACTGTTTATAAATAGTGCAAAAATGTTAAACAAACCAACAGTCAATAAAAAAAGAGAAAACTTTTCAACTCCCCCAAACTCCCGTATTGGTTAGGAGGAGATTAGGGTAGAAACCAGTTTCAAAACCCCTGCTGCTGTGCCCCTAAATGGTACTGTTTACTTTTTGCATAGGAACCACATCAATCCTTGTGAGACCGGTTTACATTATGTCTATTGAAGCTAGCTTTCTTCCCCTGTGTATATTCCTTGTAATTAGTACGAACTATACTAATATACAACTGTTAATTATTCAGTAATGCACTGTTAAGAAAGATGCAAGATTTCAGATAACATGTCTTGATGAGTACATGACGTTTGCAGCCATAGACAGTTTTCTTGGATAAAGTGTGGCAAAATATGATAATTCTCACTTCCAAACATGCGACTGACGTTCAATTTCACATGGCAGTTATAAACAAGTGAGTACTTGCAACTCGAGAATAAGTGAAGAGATTATGCCTAAACACGTGATTTAAATCAGATTTAATTGGATACGACAGAAGGTACGTCACTCTAGGTCCGAAATCGGCGTCAAGCGTGTGTCTCGAACCTGATTGATTTCTCAATCGGCAAGTGCCACGTCACTTGCAGTTATCCAATTGAAAAAAACAAAACTGTGTTTCTGTGAACGATCAAATTAAAAGCTTGCGACAACCAGTTAAGTTTTTTATATGTATCATAGCTGCAAATTCTTTCAGATTACTTTAAAGATTTTATTTTTTATATTTAACTTGGCTAAAGAAGTCATGTCCTTTTTCCTTTGTTATTTGGATTTAAAAATTTAATTCTTTAAATCTTAATTATTAAAATTTCTAAACCGTCATAAAAAATGGACAGTGATAAAAAATGATTGATACAACCATGGTTTGTTGAAATTCTGATTTAAAAAAAAAAAAAACTTTTTTTTGCCCCTAATTGTAATTTGGTTATCACTTAACTACACAATGAAGAAATCATCCCCGGAAAATGAAAAAGCTAGCAGTTAATACAATAATAAACATTAACACTGGAAGGTTTTTTTTTTGCACTTACCGGGGTGCCGCAAAGGACAAAAAATGTAGAAAGTGAAAGTAATTTATTTCGTTTTGTTTATTTATTGCCTATTTAATTATTCAATCGTAACTACTACTAAAACTCACATTTCAAATTACTCATATTTTAAAAAAAAAAAAATTATTAAAATTTTATTATTCATATTTTGAAAAAAAAACAAATAGCATCGTAAACTGAAAAGTCTTATCGCCTTTTTCCTTCTACTTCTTACGTAGCAGAGAAGTGGGAGCACTTAGTAATTACTCGTCGTTACGATTATATAGACAATAAAAATTATAGCTTGTATTGAATAAAAATTATAGCTTGTAGACAGAAACCGATTGCAGCCATGAAATCAGCTACTCGAAAATATCTAAAACCCGTACAAAAATTTCATGCAGCAGAAAACAAAACAACAACAAAAAACTGTTCCAAGTGTAATTTTTTAGATATCATTTATTAAAATAATAACATATTGCTTTTGCTACCACAAAAAAAAAATCTTCCTGGAAATGCGGAAAATCCGTAGCAATTGTATTCCATAACATTATCCTTTATTTAAACTTTCATTTAAATATATTTTTCTAGAAGTTATGAGTAAAAGCAGAAATTACCTTTTAAACAGCTTTTTTTAATTATTTGAATGTAGCATAACTTCCATTTTTTCTACATTTTTTTGACATGCAATATTTTTTATATTTAAAGTAGCTACGAATTTCATATCTTTCTATTTAATTCTTGGATTTATAAATATATCAAATAAGGTTCTATATATCAAATGAACCTTACTACAAAATTGTATAAGTATTTTTATAATTTTTCAAACTTTTAAAAGTTTAATTTTTAAAAATATTTGCAAACTTTTACTGTTCAAAATTAAATAGCTGTGCTCAGTAAAACATATTCCAGAGTTATTTAGTAGCCTTTTTTGTAAGTAACAATGTTGCCACGACTTTTTTAAATTTTTAAAAACTGTACGAACCTTGTTATTTTAAATGAAATCCCTAAAAAATCTCTTTATGTCTGAATTGGGCTCTTAACTTATTAATACTATAGAATGTACTGTAGAATGCACTATAGAATGTTAATTAGACCAAATCGATTTATCGTGCGAGGTACGACACAAACAGTGTAAATAAAAGCTCCCGTCGACTTATAAATATTTGAAAATTTGACTAAATATTTTCTTTTAATTTGTCTAAAAGCTTTCATTTGCAAAATAATAACCTCTTGACAAAAACTTTAAAGGTTACACAACAATTTTAAGTTATAAAAATGAGCATTTGATGATGAATATTAAGTATGTCTTAGCATAATAATAGATTTTATCGATTCGTATAAAAAATGAACAAAAAGTTTAATATACCCGAACAATAGAACGTATAATATGCAAATTAAGTTCTTTATAGATCATTAAATTGCAACATGAAAGTTGTTTATAACAATCTGGCTGTTAGGTCTTAATAATAAATTAAAAAACATCCATATAATATTTTAAAAAGAATATGTATTCTTTTTCAGAAGCATTTTTATTTATGGTTTTTGGAGTGAAATTATCTTCTCTTTTGAATGCGTGTTAGAAAAAGGGTATGAATATGTCTTGTATGCATTCGTACTTGTTCTATTCACGTTCTTAGAAAATATGAAATCAAACCTCAACAAGTTGTGCTTTGAATTCAAAAAATTTTCTTTTTAATATTTAACAACCGCTTTGTTTTATAATCACAAGACTATATTTTGTCTTTTGGTTTGTTTTCCTTAAATGCTTGATACCCCTGGTGTCTTGACTGAAAGCTTAAATTTAGTGGACAAAAACCACAACTTCTAGTTATCGAACATAAAAGAAAAACCATCCTGCCAAAAAGAGAAAAAAAAGTTGTGCTCTTTAACGAAACTATTCCCACTGTCAAATCGCAAAATATCTTAATTTCGTTAGAAGCATCTAGTTTAATAGGAAAGATCATGTGAAATCAATAAATACAAGCAGCCTACTACAAATTCTTCTTCAAAACTCTAAAATTGAGACTAAAAGCTTACTTTACATCTCAAAGATCGGTCTCATCCTTATTTAAGCATCTTTAGACTAATGTAACACTTCCTCATCGCTTTTAGAAAGAAAAGAAGAAGAAGAAAAACTCAAAAGGTGTCAACATCGCGATCTCAACAATGATTTTTCAAAATCATTATGTTCCAACGCTTTATTGCAATTTACTTTAAAAAGCCATAAATTGAGATGCATTACAGGATTTAATGAAATTTTGAAAACTTGAAAAGAGACATAAAGCTCAGGCAAATGGATGTTCATTATTGTATCAAAGCATTTTCATCTAGAATACAAAACATTTAATTTTCCTTCTTACTCAAAGTAGCATTCCAGTTTCCAGGAAGTACGACCTTAAAGCTAAAATTTCAAGATAGGGATCAAAAAAGGATCATAAACTGCCTCAGCTGATGCTAAGATAACTACCACATATGAGTATGAATAAACTGCCTGAAGCCGTTGGATAATGATGATAATTTAAGGATGATAATGAGGATAATGCTGTATATTGCCTAGGCTTTATATCAATAATAAGCTAACATGAAATTATAATAAAAAAGACACAAATAAAGTCTATTCCAGTCACGTCCAGCATGGAGTTAGTTTAAACCTCAATCGAATTGATAAATCAGAAATAGTTCAAAACAAATTGCTTAAAAATATTATAGGTGCTCCGTAGTATCTTACCCACAAAGACATCAGAAATATCTTATAAATAGATGTTTTTAGAAATTATTTAAATAAACAAACTACGACTTTCTAAAAAAGTTCATAAGTCTCTGAGCCAGTCGGATTTAACAGTATATTAAACAAAGAACTAACTATAGTCTTGAAAAATTTACTTTCAAAAAAATTACTTGAAAAATTACTTTCCTATAGTTTACTTTCTCCTCTTGGGCGGAATCCTGTGAAAATTCTACGAGTAATTCTACCCCATCCCAATTTCTATTCATAGAATGCTTTCAAAAATAGGAAAAGAACCTAGTGTCCACACTTGATTAAAGATTACACCAACCCTAGCTTTAAGCCAAATCTTTCTCAGTTAGAACAACTTTAAATATAAATTTATAGTCTTTCGCCTACTTGTTTTTTTACCTACAGCTATTATTCTCGTCGCCCATAGAAGCAAGCAACTATGAAAGAATGAAGATTTCGCTTCGAGAAAAGGTGTTCTGTACAGTAGCTTAGTTCAAGTTAATGCTTCATTGATTTAATTAGAATGTATAAATTACACCGATTTCAAAAGGTTAAGCCTAAATCTCTTTTCAAGCGTATTCCTTCTCAAGCGGAGGAAATATATCGATTTTTACACTTTTTATTTTGGATAAATGCAATTCCTACTCTATGTGCTTTCAAAAAGCGAGGAAATTATGCAAAAAAGGTTTTTGTTGCCATAATCAACATTTTTTTAGTCGCATTTATAATCACAAATATTAAAATTATTAAAACTAATCACAGAAATCTTTCGGAAACTCTGCCTTTTATTTTGATTGTTACGTTAATAATATTTCGA